GGGGTGGTGGTGGTTAGAAGGCCAGACTTGGATTAAAAACAATAATTAGATTGCATCGAAAGATCGCTGTCATAACACAATTTCGCCGGCTTCACAGTGTGTCGACACCGGCCCAGTACCCAGAAATGACTCAGCTTCTGGTTCCAAACCCAGTCTGCACATTTATTCCGTGTTTACAGTTTCTGAGCTTATCAACGGTTTTAGAAAATACGTATATTCGGCCTTGTCGGGGAAGTTTTTTTAGATCAATCTGGTTAAGGAATGGAAACAAAGAATAAATTATTTTTAGAGGCATCTCAAATGGCTTTACAGCGGTAATGTATGAACAGGCACGCACACCAAGTCGCAGAAGTCGAGGGGATTGGAATAAAGCCTATTTCTTTTTATTTTTATTTTAGAGAGCGAGGAAAGGAGAGGGAGAGAGAGAGACAGTGATGCGAGGGAGAAACATCGATCGGTCACCTCCTGTATGCCCCAACCGGGGATCCAGCCCATAGCCTGGGCATGTGCCCTGACTGGGAATCAAACCGGAGACCCTTCGGTGCATGGAACAACACTCAACCCACTGAGCCACCCCAGCCAGGGCGAGACTTATTTCTAGTGGATATTCATCTACAGTGCAAACCTCTGTAATTTGATGGGACAGTTTAGACAGTAAAAGAGCCATTAAAATTAAAATAACGGGTGAAATTCTTACTATGGCTCTCTGGAGCGTAGTAGTTGCTTAATAAACAGCAGAGCTGCAGAGTCACTGAAAGCCTTCGTCTCTTCTTTTCAGCTTGACCATCTCTGCGGAGTGTCCGATGCAGCTTGAGGACTTCCCGATGGACGCCCACGCCTGCCCCCTGAAGTTTGGCAGCTGTAAGTTATTTTCATGAGTCAGAGCCGTGGGTATCCTTTCGGGGTGTGGCTGCATGCATTCAGGAGAATTTGGGTTGTCTGTGGGAATGAGCCCACTAGAAGCTGCAGTCTGCTCCAGAAGATGGGGAGTGCTGTGGGGTCCACACTCCTTTGTCCTTGTGGACTGTCCTTCTTGTCTCTGCCCTTGAGAGGGATGTGAGTGGCGGCACTTACCACCTAGAGCAAGCTCCTGGGTTCACCTAGCAGCTCTTTCTCGTTTTCGCTTCTCAGATTTCAGGTCACCTCCTGCAGGGACCCCCCTTCAACACCCAATTTCTGGTAGCCAGTCAGTACCTTTTGGATTGCACTGTAGTCACTGCTGTCAACTCGCTTCTTCTAGAATGTTCCGTAAGAACAACACTGTCTGTCGTGTCTGATCACCCCTTACCTTGTGCATATATAGGAAACATGTTGCTTCAGGAGATAACAAATTCATTAGAGGCATACGTCTCTGATTCTACTAGAAATTCCTGCATCCCAGTCCTTCCGGAGGGCACTGTGGAAACATTGGCCTCACTGCTCAGACGTGGGGAGGCAGGGCTGGTGCCGATGGACTGTGCCCTTCTTTCTTTACACTATCCATTGGTGCCCATGCCCAGGTGAAGTTGCCTTTCTTTGACACCTAGCAGCCCATACCCTGGGCCTGAGTCCTGGCTATTCTGCTCCTTTGCTCAGTAACTGTGGCCAAGTAGCTCCTTCAAGCTTCTTTTCTCAGTTGTAAATTGGTTGTGAGGTAATGTTTCAGACTGGCAGAGTAACACCAATTAAAGTGCTCAAGAAGTGTCCTTCATCATCATCACCCCTGTAAAAGTTCATTGTGTTAATAGCTGGGTGACCGAATGCACGTCTCATCACCATAAATGACTTCTGTTTCACCCATTCATTGCTTATGGAATGAACACTTTGTCTAACATTCATATTGCCATGCCAGCAATTAAAGTGCTGGGATATATGTATCAATATTTGCCTGGAATATCTTTTACACCATTTTTTCTTAATACGTGATGAATATTTTTGCTGGATATAAGATTATGTTCTGACAGTTCTTTTGACACTTGAAAAATGTGCCACTTTATTCTTGCCTCCATATTTTCTGACAAAAAGTCTGCTGTCATTCAAATAATTTTTTCCCTTGTAGGTAAGGTGTCATTTTTCTCCGGTGGCTTTCAATAATTGGATTTGCTCAGACTCTTGATTCTATATATTTTTGCCAAATTTAAGAAGTATGATCAGCTATCTTTTGAATACTTTTCCTGCCACATCTTTTTTCTCATCTCCTTTCCTGACTTCAGCAACATGAATATTAGATATTTTGTTCTATTTCCGTCAGTACTGAGCCTCTTTTCATTTTGTCTCTGTTTTTCAGATTACGCTGATGAGCTCGTTCATTGAACTTTTTAATATGATTATTATATTTTTAAGTTCTGTGAAGGTTAATTTTATGTGTCAACTTGCTGGGTCAGGGCATGACTAGATATTTGGTCAGACATGATTCTGGAGGTGTTTGTGAGGATATTTTTAGATAGGAATATCATTTAAATCAGTAGATGGAGTAAAGCAGATTGCCCTCCCTGCTGTGGATGGGCCTCACCCAATCAGTTGAAGTCCTGAATAGGACAAAAGGGCTGAGTGAAAGGGAATTTCTTCTGCCTGGCTCCCTTGATCACATACATGGGTCTTTCCTGCCTTTGGACTCAAACTGAAGCATCAGCTCTTGTTGGGTCTCCAGTCTGCCAGCTCTCAGACTGGAACTACACCATCAGCCCTGTCTTAGCCTTCAGTTTTGCACGAATATGTATATTTTAATTTTGAGAAGTGGCCTACTGCTTGTAACAAATACCTAAAAATGTGGAATTGGCTTCAGAATTGTAACTGTGAGAGAGAAGCTGGTGAGGTCTGTGGTAGGTGCTAGAAGAAGCCAAGATTGCTCAGAGGGCTGAGAAATAAAGGAGGAGCCTGGAGAGAAAACCTCCGTATCCTTAGAAAATACAGAAATAGCCACGAACAGAACTGGTAGAACTATGGACGTTTATGGTCTTCCGGTGAGATCTCAGGCAGAAATGACAGATAGGTTCTTGGAAACTGGAGGAAAAGGATCCTTGTTATAAACTGGCAAAGCACTTGGCTGAATTGTGTCCTAGTGTTTTGTGGAAGGTAGAACTTGCGAACTTTGAAACTGAATGTTTAGCTGAGGATATTTCTAAGCAAAGTGATGATGGCACACTTGGTTCCTCCTGACTGTTGACAGTAAAATGTGAGGAGCGAGAGATGAATTAAAGAAGGAATTGTTCAACAAAAGGACCAGAATGCAAAGAGTTGGAAAACTCTCAGTCTATTCATATTTTGAAAAATGCGGAAGCTTGTTCTGGGGAGAACACCAAGGTGTGGCTGGACAGTGACTTCATATGGCTCCAAAGGCAACTCAGAGATCATCCGACCTGCTGTTACCACGACAGGTTTGGGGAGCCACACTACCTCCACTTGGGTTTCAAAGGGCAGTGTCACCCCCACAGCTGTGCTAGAAACAAATGGAAAGGCAGAAAAACCTCAGCAAAGAAAGAGAAAAGATAAAGAAAAACCAAACAGAAGTTTTAGAATGTATGTTGGACTGCTCAGGCTACCCTGACAAAATGTCATAGTCTGGGTGGCTTAAACGACCAAGATTTCTTTTCTCAGAGATCTGGAAGCTGGGAGGTCCAAGATCAAGTGGCCAGGAGGTTCAGTTGTAGTGATGGCTGTCTTTCCTGCTCTCAGCTGCCTTCCTGCTGTGTGCTCACAAGGCCTTTTCTCATTGCATGTGTTTGTAGGGAGATATTTGTCTCTCTTCCTATTCTTCTAAGGGCACTAATACTATTGGATTAGGGCCCCACCCTTATGACTTGATTTATCTTTAATTACAAAGGCCCTATCTCCAAATACAGTAATATTGGGGATAGGGTTCCAGCATATGAATTTTGGGGGGCACAATTCGGTCCATATCATTCTGCCACTGCCCCCCCAGTTACTGTCCTTCCTGCCTGCAGAGTACATTCATTCCATCCCAAAAGCACCAAAAGCCTTAACTTATTCCAGCATCAACTCTAAAGTGTCAAGTCCCAAGTCCCACCTAAGTATCACCTAAAGCAGATATGGGTGAGACCCAATGCATCCTGGGGAAAATTCCTCTCCAGGTGTGAACTTGAGAAACCAGACAAGTCTTGTGCCTCTAAAATATAATGGAGGAACAGACACTGGGTAGACATTCCTATTTTTAAAGAGAAATCAGAAGGGAGAAATGGGTAATGAGTCCCAAGCAACTCTCAAACATAGCAAGGTGAATTCCATGAGATCTTAAGGCTCCAGAATAATCCTCTTTGGTTCTATTCCTTCCCTCCAGGTCCACTGGGGGGCAGTGTCACCCCAATTGCTCTGTGGGGTGTTTCTGCCAAGGCTCTCTGAATGGCCAGTTTTAGAATTTGTACTTGGTCCTTTTAGTTTCAATGCCCCAGCTAAGATTTACTCTTAGTTTTTTTTGTTTTGTTTGTTTTTAATATATTTTTATTGATTTCAGAGAGAGAAAGGGAGAGAGACACAGAAACATCAATGATGAGAGAGTCATTGATCGGCTGCCTCCTGCACACCCCCCACTGGGGATCAAGCCCAAAACCCGGGCATGTGCCCCCACCGGGAATAGAGCTACACTGGCCGGGCTTACTTCTTTAGAGTAATTTTTTATTACAAAACATTACATTCTGTACCTGTAAGCATGGGCATAATAGTTGTTCTCAAATCCTCATGTGCTAAATGCAGAATCTGAGTCCTCTTGGGGTCATTTTGTATTGATTATATTTTCTGTTGACTATCAAACCTTTTTTCCTTTGTCTTTTCCATTGGAGAATTTTGAATTCTTTCCTGAATATTTCAGTGTTACGTTGCTGAAACTGTGGATTCTGTTAAGTTAGAGTGTTGTTATTATTTTTTTACCCAGTTAACTTGACTGAAGAAAAACTTAAAACTCTGTCTTTCGTGTGATAGGCAAGAGCTGAAACATCGGGTGATTTTTACTTGAGCCGGGCTGGTGGGATTCTGCTCCATGTCTGCATGATTCAGGGGCGAGTTCGACATCTGGGTGGAGTTCACATACATCCGGGCACGTCAGATGTGGGGCTTTTCTCTGTGGCTCCCCCTTCCCAGGATTTTACTCATTTCCAGCTCTGATACTTCCATGGTCCGGACACTTTGCTTTGGTTCTCCAAGCCTGTAAGACTGAGGGGGTCTCGCTGCGCTTTAACCATCTCCCAGCTCCAACTCACGGCTTTTTAAGTGAAAAGCCATTCTTTTCTCTCAGCTCCCTCCCGTCTCTCCCTGTATCTGTTCTCCCTCCAGTCCCTTCAGGGAGTTATTTTTTCCTACGTGTCCAGGGTTCATAGTTGTTACCTAATAACTGCCACTCTGCCGTTGCTGACGGGGGAGCATCTTGTGACTCCAAGGGTTTCGTTTTCTATTGTTTTTATCATTCCAAAGAGGTTTTTGGAATTAGGAGAGGTAAATATGTGTGCTGAGCCAAAAGATTAGGTTGGGTGGAAATAATCCGTTCTTTTTCAAACTCTGATCTTCAAATGCCATGGAGAGATAAAACACGTTTATTTGGGGAAAGCGGTGTAATGAAAAGAAGGTCTCACCAGGATTTATTTAAATTACTCGCTGCCATGGGCTCGCTGTCTTAATCAGTGCTCGGACAAACCTTCAAAAGCTCCCTAAGGCCTCTCGCTTGGGAATCACTGGTTCATGTCCCTGCAGGAAAGTGAATTCTTCATGTTCCCAAGAAGAAGTGAGTTGAATAACTTAGAACATGCCCATCTTTGTATATAGAGATTGTGCTCTTGATCAAAGACAAAACACTGAAAGCGAGATTGTTATTTTTTTCATCATTAGTTAAATAAGTTCAGTCGATGTGATATTCAGACTTCATGGCCTCTGTG